TTTTTTTTTCTGGTAGGTTTACTTTCAAACGTGAAACCACCATCACCATTAGGATTTTCAGATGCTCGGTCAATTTACGTTTGTATGTGAGACCTTCGTGGCCATTATGTACCTTCGCTAATGGGCAATATTCAGTTCGATAATTATGTCAGATGTTTCTTTCTATGCTTTCACGCAAAAGCTTATTTCATTGGATCCACAAGCTTTGTTCAAAACTGCGTGAAAATAATTTCAAACACCTAACATGGCTCCAGCTGAACAGAATGAATTTCACCAAAGAGACTAGATCAATTTATTCACAGAACTCTGAGTATTTGTTGCAAATACAATTAGTACAGTAAAGCAGACTTGCTCTGATGCACATTATAATATTACAAGACAATTTCTTCAACAAAAAAAACATGCCAATGTATGGTCACCCGTAATGAAAGAGGACAAACTAAGAGAAGCTGAATCAAATGGAGGAGTGATAGTGAGCAACAGCTGTAGCAAGAGAGACACTTACATTCGTCACCGGTGAGAGCCAGAAAGAATATGGTAGATGACCTGCACGACGACAACAAATGCGGCGAAGCACCACTGCACATAAAAAAAGGGACAAAGTTTGGATGGAAAGAAGAATAAGATTAGTAGGATTTAGTCCACTCTTAAGTGCAGTTCACTAGAGCTAGGTGGAGCTCGACGCATTGTGGAGTTTGCTAATGGAGCTCCTGGTATTGGACCACCTGGAGACATAAGAGTTTGCCTGAAAGTAACAGAACTAAGCTTCTTTCATTCACTAGTTTCTAATCAATATCTAGCTATCATTTTCTTCATCAAAGATGAGAAATTTGTAAATCTAGCCTAACAAAATAACCCAAAAAAGTACAAAATTACCGTTCTTTTCCTCGCCTTTGACGTTTGATATACACGGCAAAAAATCCGAGCACTACGATGGTAAGAGCTCCAACTAAGCCCAGAGCGATAGCTGTGTAAATCCTGGAATCAGGAAAAATAAAACATTTGACTATAGACTTTTCGTATGGAAAGTCAACAATAATGACTCTTTTTATTTGCATTTTTTCATTAATAAGAAGAAAAACACCATTTACACTACAAATGTTATACACAAATTTGACTTTACATTACAAATGTTACATACAAATTTGACTAAGTTCTGCTCTTGTTGAGTCAAGCTCATCACCACATATTCATCTTCATTTGAAGGTTTACAAATATGAAATTAATATTTACAGGCAAACACAATTTCATGAGAGGCTCTAAGGGAAAAAATCTTTGTAGTTCCCGTTTTGTGGTCAGCATATGAAAAAATTGAAATACCTCATTCGTACTGCTTTCGCTGCTAGTTCCTCTTCATGAACCATATCGTTCGACAGGCGATTAATATCGTAAGGAGAGAAAGTGGACAGTATCGGTTTCTCAAATTTGGGCAACTTTGCCAGCATCTCCTCTAGTGAAGTATTTCCCTAAACATGTGAAATCAACCTGCTCTATTGTACTGTTACACATGGCACATACCGTTGCTACTCTGTTGAAGATAAGCCCTAGTTTGTCGCTGTTTGATTTGAAATGTTCAAGGAGATCAGCAGGTAACTTGCGTAGATCTGGGACTTCACCACGGGAGAACGCTGTTATGATCTGCAAAGATATGAAATATGATAAGTTGCGTTTAGAATTGAAAAAAAAACGAATGCATTACTGCTTTTTCTTAAATCAAACAGTCAAGAGAAATTCACTTACCTCGGATGGA